TCATTGAAGTATCTTACAGAGAATCACAATCTTAGTAATTTCATTTCTACAGCAAAAATTGAGCAAGTTATTTGTTATTTTATCCGAGGGAACTCAGCAAACAAGGCCAAATAGGGAGTGAGCAATATCTTTATCATGCGTTCGGAAGTTTGCATTATGCAACTTTACAAGTTTTTAACCAGTGAGAACAAGTATGATATTGTAAAACCGACACGAACATGAAAAGAGACAGTAAAACTGGCAAATTGTTTAAGGCACGAGAAAACACAAGTGTCTAAGGTACGGATGATTTTAGTTTTACATCTCATCACTTGATAGGAAAACCAAATCAAGACATTTCCGAGTTGTTTTCCGCACTCAATTTTAAAATTGCATCGACCGAAAAAGATTGGTCTCAGCATTGGTAGGATGGTCAAGAAAAGATACGGGCACGCATCAGATTATCAACAAGGAGCTGTCAAAATTTATCTTTAATGTAACATCCTTCACAATGTTTACAAATCACGTCATGGATGTTTTCACTTCAGCACGATGGCTTAATTATCTTCACTGAGCCCTTGATGTGAGCTTTGAACTCGGCCACTGAAACATAATAAATAAATAAAGGGGTACGTTTCTAAAGAAACTGTGGTGCTGCGTCGGTGGGAGAGTATAGCAGGTAATTTAATGTTAACAACTGGGTTGAAAACGTAAATTAGCCACCGTAAAGGGTAAATAAGCTGACGTTTCGAGCGTTAGCCCTTCGTCAGCGAACGAAGGGCTAACGCTCGAAACGTCAGCTTTTTTACCCTTTACGGTCGCTAATTTACGTTTTCAACCCAGTTGTTAACACTAAATTACCCACTGAAACATGTTGCTCACTCCTGTCAGGCACGACTTTGACATGCGTGCGATTTCTTGGTCTTTTAGAACGTGATCCCAGATGTTGATACCTGTCATTTCACCCATGAAAGATTGATTGGCATAAAAACTTCCTCCCTTTGAGTCTAGCTCCTGCCCTAGTACCAGGGCTCCATTTGCACGAATCACGTAACCTAAGGGGACATTAACAGGAAATTAAGGAAAAAGATAAATTCACCATTTAAAAAAGATTCAATTATATTTCTGGAGGAAATGATAAAAAGACTGGAAAGTGAGTACATTCTTTCCTTTTTTTAGTTTTCTTAATCAATAATTTACCGAATAAGTGAGTCATGTCGCTCTGCTTGTTCCAACCTCCGCATTACTTTTTGGGAACTACGCACTTTATCCTTAAGTGACTAACATGACATACACTGTAGCATTTAAGTGATAAATTTCATAATCGTTTATCAAGTAATTTTACCATCACAGTTACGCGCATTTTTATCAAGGTTTTTGCATGTTTTTCAAGTATTTATTTTTTGGCATCAGTGATCATTACCTCGTCAGAGTTTGTCTGATATATCTTCCTTTTTTGGCGCCTTTCTCGGTTTCTCCAGTATCTTTAGTCTTCTTTCACCTTTTCAGCTTCTTAGGGTGGTTTTTCTCAGCGTTACTTGCAAACGACATGTAGAGCATTCAAGCGGTAATTTTAACTAATCGTTTTTTCTCCGCACAAGGCAGTTTAGTTCACAACGCAATTATTTGCAGTTAGAGTCCGCGATAATTTTACGCAGTTTCCCTCCAGAGAATTTCGTTTACAGTGGCCGTTACAATGTAAATGCAAACCGGGTTTAACTGGATGAAAGTCAGGAACAGAGAACTGGAAAAACTGAATTTATCATTGGTTTCAAGTAGTTGACAACATTCAACAGTCAACACCAAACACTTAGTTTGGGTAGCTTCTATGAAGAAAACAACCTTTTAACTGACCGTGTTTAACGAAACAGCTTTAAAACATGTTTAAGCTTATATTAAGTCTATCTACGTCTATCTTAAAACTACTTTTAAGTCTACCTACACTTCGTCCTTCGTTTATTTCAATCAACCTTTGAATTTTGTGGAATCCTCGCGGTTTCGTCATTTCGGCCTCTTTGTATTAGCAGTTACACACACTAAACATTTAATACTATTTTACGGACTATTGCTAAAAGAAGAATTTACCTGTTTGGAAACTTTTACCAGAAACGGTAACCGAACCATCTCGAAACAATTTCCATAATCCAACGGTATTCTCCCATGTTAGGCAGATATGATGCCACTTTCCATCACTGGCGGATACAGAAGTAGAACCACTAAAATTAGCAGCAAAACGCGAGAAGTGTACTTTTAGTATCTTAAAGCTTACAGCAACATTAAATCAAAACAACTATTGTGATTAATAACAGAACAAAACTTCAGATTAAATACTTAAACCTGTGATGGTTGTTGATGAAAACCCTAAAATTTCTATAGTTATACAGGAGAAGCTCCTCGCGTCCTCCAGACACAACATAGCTCAGGGGTGTTCCTTCATTTCTAGTATCAGCGGTTTTCATCCACAGACAAACTGTCACAGCTGACAGGTTTGGCATACCACGAGTGATGATGACGTAATCACTGGTTCCTTTTCGTGGAAATTGCAGAGCGTATCCTGCAACTGTAGAATTACTCAGGTTTTTACTGGGACACCTGTGGTAGCCCAGTCATAAAATGCCTTTGGTTTTTTTGTCGTCCTTTTTTTTTTTTTTTTTCTCCGCCACAAAATGGAAAAATTGCGCAATAGTACCCAGAGGTCATTGGGCCCTCAACGCCATGACAACTAACTATGATCCAATAAGGTGTTCACATGCTGATCACGCGTGTTATCTTGATGATGATTGACGTTGTCATACACGGACAGGGCCGGGTTACAAAACGAATCACGAGATTTTTGCTTATAAAACTCTTTGGTCAGTTGTTTTGTATTTCAACGTATTTGGATTGCGATCTCCTGGAGCATTATGGCGCAAACGCGCAAAATACTTACAGACGCATATACAAGTTGTATTAATCGCGGCTAATCCACACAGAAAGATGTTAATGAGCGGTAATTTTGGAACGGATTGAGTCGCGAACACTTGAAAGCCATGAAAGCCTTGAATGCCTTGTATGCTAAGTATGCCAATGTCTTAGTTGAAAAACGTTCACTTGATGTAAAAAGCAAAATCTGAAATCTGAAACCAAACTGCATATACTTTATGCAATCTATTGAACAACACTACTACCGTGAGACTGAAGAACATAACTTTAGTGGATGCAAACTGCTTGTGAAGAAAGACGACATGTTGGATTCACTTGATGGCAAGGAACGTAGCTACGATAACAGTACGGATAGTATTAATTTCACGATCAGAAAGGTGAATCTTATGTTTGTTTTCATTGTAGTTGTATGGATATTCTTTTTTAATAAATAAGTGATCCAAAACCCTGTGTTTTTTTGTGTATAATGTTATTATGTTAAATATTGTTTACGCAATTGTCTTGTCACAGGTGGCGCAAGCTCATGTCTCGAGAAAAAGCCAACGATTAATTCATGAACGTGTCACGTTGTGTGACTCGGTGTTAAGTTACGAGAGGAACTGTTGGAAATTTGAACACGTTATAAGGAATACTATGGGGAACGAAGTATGGTCGATTTACAACGATAAATATTTCGAAATATGAACATTTTTCTCGTAAAATCAATAAAACTTACTCATACCCTGTGTATCCGTTGTATTTTCTGGCTATTTCTGCCCTTTTAAGCTTGCTTTACTATCACTGTTATTCACGTCATTTACTTTTATTACGTTGGTAAAATCTGTACAGACATCACACCAACCAACTCGCGCGCAAAGTAAGAAGACTATATTGAAGGCTTGAAATAATATTGCGATCGATTTTCATTAAGAAATGGGCCAGGAATATTCCACAGTAGTGCAAGGGGGATCGCAGAAAAGCGATTGCGTGACGCGCGGTAAGCTGTAAGATGACGTGTTATTATATACCAGACGTAAAAACTCTTCAGATTCTTAGTCTGCATTTTGTACCCACTCTGCAGTCTGCAGTCTATATTTTGTATCCGGTCTGCAGTCTACTGTCTGCATTTTGTACTAACAGGTATCCGTGGCACCAATACAGTTTATTTTTGGTTACATTTATACGCAAAACACACATAATCTACCTCAAAATACCTGTGAGTGAGGTAATTCGACATTTTCGTTCTTTCCCACATTAATATTCTTCTCTCCTTTTGTAAGAATGTAGACATCACTCACAATGTTTCAAGTAATCCACCCACCCTACAAAAAAGTAACTCTTGCATGCATAGCATGCCTATGTTTTGAAATAGGTGTATGCCCTTGGCCAGACTTGAGCGCACTATTTCAGTATACAAGTCCGACACCCGTAGTACCACTACACTTGATTCCAAGGATCCACTACCATCCAGGTATCCCAGTTACCCTGCTCACAGGGTCTAGATTATTTGTCAACGCTGCTTTCGAAGCCTCTTTAAAAAAGTTGTGCTGTCGTCCTTCGCTTTAATTGTTTTTAGTGCAACTACTGTCAACTACAAGTCACAAGGGTAGTTCAATAACAAAAGGTTATAGTTCTATAGATTACTGTTAACGTTTTCAGGAGAACTTTCACCTTACACCTTTTTAAAACCGATGGTCAAGCGAGTCTGTGATTACAAAAGCAGCATTCCAAGAAATGTTGCCGTTGTTGGTTTTTTTTTTATGAGCATACCATGCAGCCCCACAAATACATTTTTTTCAAGCGTGAAGAGCCTAGTATCACCATCCAAGTGGCCGCTGAAAGAGGCGAAACAATTTTTCACGATGCACAAATAATTACAGTTTGAGTGATGTGCAACTTACTAAGTTACTTGTCACGCCAGCAGTTAATATTCGAGTAGTAGACTTCCACACAATAACTAACGTAGTTCATAACCTATGAAAAGCTCCGTCTGATCAAAAATAATTCTGAAAACAAACATTTCTGCAATCTAAACCGTAAGGAACTCAGAGAGCGCTTCCTCTTCTGAATTTAAATTCGGGAAATTTGGTTACTGAGAAGTGTACAAATATTGTATTTTTTAAAAGGTAATGTTTACAGGTTGCAAGGAGCAGCTCAATACAATGTAAAGGCATTTAGTAATCTTATCTGTATCAAGAAAGAAAGCTAATCCTACCTTGTTTCTCCAAGCCTGTTAGCCTCATGATGGCGTGGAGCAACTTGCACAAATCTTCATTCGACTCGCTTAATAACTTTAATCTGTTTTTGATTTTAGCCAATTCCACTTTTGTTTCTCGGGCGGAAGACATAACTACTTCATTATGGTCTCCAGTGATGAAAACTTTACCATCCGAGACGGTCGTAATCACTCGAGTGGATGAGGAAATATGAGGTGAAGCCACAAAGATCAGGAGCAAACAAAAACGAATCGATTTAGTAGTCAACATAGCGACAGAAAGAGGTCGGCTAATAGGACTGAGTCATCAGAGAAACCAAAGCAATTTTTTATGAAGCACGATGAATTTTGATAAATGTAAATAGAACAAGTTTATTTTTCTGGACGACGATGACGTTTGCTTTTTGCGTTTTATAAGATACTTGTGACACGGTTGATTACCAGCCCCATCAGTTGATAAACTGGACTTTCAGTGAGCAAGTAGGAGTGATTTAGACATCATTTATACAGTTGCACTTCAATTTATCGTCTCCCTTTCCTTATTTTTTTTCTTCTCTTTTTTTATTTTATTTTTGGTTTTTTTAGTTGCATTTTAGTTTGGGTTTTCCTGTTTTTCAGTTTGATGTTTCCTTTCACATGCTACTTTTTGGCGAAAATTGTGTTCAATGTGTACAGAGACGGTTGTCTTCAATTACGTAATTTTGTAGCACACTACTAAATACACTACAAGAAGAGAAAAAAAGGAGGAGAGGTTGCAGGAATGTGTTCAGTATATACTCTGTTTCCGAAATGCCTTGTTCTGCCAATATCGGAACTAAGCATGCGTTTTTACAATTTGTACGATTAGACGACGTATTAGACAGTACAAGAGGAGCCATGAGAGGAGCAGTATTGTTATCTTTCTCTCTCACTTTTCCACCTTTGCTAACACATCGAGTGATTAACCCTACGAATTGCAAGCTAGTAGCGACGTAAGGGATGAATAGAAGTCGAACAACAGCGTAATAGATGTGGGCTGACAAATTGTGATGCCGATATTTGAAATTCAAATATATATCTTTGCAGTCTTGGCAGTTGTTTCATTGGTTTCAAGCAAATCCGTGTCAACAGACCGGGATGTTGACACTGAGGTTTTCATTCATGTTCGGATAATTCAAGCGATTACATGAGCCCATGGCGACCATCGTTCAGAAGGGAATTTTTGGAACAAGAAAGCGCCAGGTTATTTTCCAACGTTGTCATCTTGTTCTACAATTTTTCCTCTTTGATGATAAGTGACGGCAATTTCAAATGTTCTTAGAAACAAAGGAGTGACAACCAGGACAATTTTCTAAAACGGAACAACATTTTTGAGCCAACAAGACATATTTTGACATCCCTACCTCAACAAATTCCTTAGTTGTGAAAGTTTCAAATGCATCATTTGAGCTTTCAGTGTGCACTTTACATTTTTAAAACTAGCTTTCGCATTTCTTTCTCCGATGTTCTGCCGTTAAGCTACAGGAACTCTATAGTGAGCAGGGCCATTACATAGTTCATATGCGACGCATGTCTTGCATACTGCTAGAACCAGCCATGTTGAACTGAGCCACGTGCGAGTAAATAGACTAAGAAGGGCGGCAAAGTAAAAAAAAAAACCCATAGCTCTTTCTACATTCAACGATTGAGCCAAAAATCAAGCAATAGAGGAATTTTTCCGAGTTTATATTGCATCATCTAAACACGCAGGGAGTTGGGAAAGTTATGCTAGCCCAAGACGCGGTGAGAATTCTCCAAAGCCTCGAGTGTTTGAATGATCGAGGCTTTGCAACCAGGGAAGAATGCTATACTTCAGAGATTCAACCTTTTAATTTATTCTTTCTTCCGTTAGTCGCCTTAGAAGTTTTTGTTTCTGTAGAGCTGCCTTAAATTAACAGCTTTAATCTGTCTTTCTTAATTTCATACTAATGAATACTTTGATACATTTTACCACGAATTTACAAAATGTCCTTACCAGTATGGAAAGTTGGTCCTTCACGTTGCAAATTAGCTATACGAGCTTGTAAAATGGAAACATTTCATAACGAAGAAGAAGGGCACGTTATATTTGGTGCCATCACGTTTACCGGCGATTGTTTTAAATCTGGAAATCTAATTAACCTTTTTTAAAGCTATTTCAGCAACACCATTGAGCAAGTTATTTGTTATTTTATCTAAGAAGTGTGCAATATCTTTATCATGCGTTCGGAAGTTTGCATTTTGCAACTTTGCATCTTTTTAACCAGCGAGAACAATGATGACAGGGAAAAACTGACACGAACAGAAAAGGTGCGGATGGTTTTAGTTTTGCAGCTCATGACTTGATAGGAAAACCAAATCAAGACATTCCCGAGTTACTTTCGACACTCAGTTTAAAAATTGCATGGACCGAAAAAAATTGGTCTTAGCATTGGTAGGATGGTCAAGAAAAGATACGGGCACACATCAGATTATCAACAAAGAGCTGTCAAAATTTATCTTTAATGTAACATCTTTCACGATGTTTACAAATCACGTCATAGATTTTTTTCACTTCAGCACGATGGCTTAATTATCTTCACTGAGCCCTTGATGTGAGCTTTGAACTCGCGCCACTGAAACACGTTGCCCACCCCCGTCAGGCACGACTTTGACATGCGTGCGATTTCTCGGTCTTTTATGACGTGATCCCAAATGTTGACACCTGTCATTTCACCGATGAAAGATTGAATGGTTTCAAATTTTCCTCCCTTTGAGTCTTGCTCCTGCCCTAGTACCAGGGATTCATTTGCACGAATCACGTTACCTGTGGGGAGATAAACAAGAAATTAAGGAAAACGATAAATTCACCAGTTAAAAAAGATTCAACTTTGTCTTTTTCTTTGATTAAGCAAATATCTGGAGGAAATGATAAAAAGACTGGAAAGTGAGTACATTTTTTCCTTTTTTAGTTTTCTTAATCAATAATTTACCGAATAAGTGAGTCATGTCGCTCTGTTTGTTCCAACCCCCGCATTACTTTTTGGGAACCATGCACTTTATCCTTAAGTGACTAACATAACGTACACTGTAGCATTTAAGTGATAAATTTCATAATCTCTTATTAGGTAATTTTACCATCACAGTGACGTGCATTTTTGTCAAGGTTTTTGCATGTTTTTCAAATATTTATCTTTTTGGCATCAGTGATCATTACCTCGTCAGAGTTTGTCTGTAATATTTTTCTTGTTATGCGCATTTCTCGGTTTCTCTAGTATCCTTAGTCTTCATTCGCCTTTTTCAGCTTCTTAGGGTGGTTTTTCTCAACGTTACTTGCAAATCACATATAGAGCATTCAGGAGGGAATTTTTCACTAATCGTTTTTTCTCCGCAGAAGGCGGTTTAGTTAACAACGCAATTATTTGCGGTTAGTTTCTGCGATAATTTTACGCAGTTTCCTCCCAGAGACTTTCGTTCTCAGTGGCCGTTACAATGTAAATGCAAACCGGGTTTAACTAAATGAAAATCAGGAAAAGAGAACTGAAACACTGAATTTATCATGGGTTTCAAGTATTTGACAACATTCAACAGTGAACAGCAAACATTAGTTTAGGTGGCTTCTATGTAGAAAACAACCTTTTAACTGACCGTGTTTAACGAAACGGTTTTTATGGAGTGTAAGTCTATCTACGCCTTCTATTTAAAACTACTTTTAAGTTTACGTTCACTTCGTACTTCGTTGACTTTAATCAATATTTGAACTTGCGGAATCCTGCATGGCGGTTTTGTCATTTCGGCCTCTTTGTATTAGCAGCTACACACACTAAACATTTAATACTATTTTACGGACTATTGCTAAAAGAAGAATTTACCTGTTTGAAAACTTTTACCAGAAGCAGCAACCGAACCATCTCGAAACAATTTCCATGATCCAGCGGTATTCTCCCATGTGAGGCAGATATGATGCCACTTTCCATCATTGGCGGATACAGAAGTAGAACCACTAAAATTAGCAGCAAAACGCGAGAAGTGTACTTTTAGTATCTTAAAGCTTACAGCAACATTAAATCAAAACAACTATTGTGATTAATAACAGAACAAAACTTCAGATTAAATACTTAAACCTGTGATGGTTGTTGATGAAAACCCTAAAATTTCTATAGTTATACAGGAGAAGCTCCTCGCGTCCTCCAGACACAACATAGCTCAGGGGTGTTCCTTCATTTCTAGTATCAGCGGTTTTCATCCACAGACAAACTGTCACAGCTGACAGGTTTGGCATACCACGAGTGATGATGACGTAATCACTGATTCCTTTTCGTGGAAATTGCAGAGCGTACCCTGCAACTGTAGAATTACTCAGTTTTTTATTTGTCAACGCTGCTTTCGAGACTTCTTTAAAAAAATTTCTGCTCTCGTCTTTAGATTTAATTGTTTTTGGTGCAACTACTGATTTGATGCAAGTCACAAGGGTAGTTCAATAACAAAAGGTTCTATAGATTACAGTTAACGTTTTCAGGAGAACTGTCACCTTACACCTTTTTCCCTGGTCCAGTCCCCGATTACAATAACAGCGTTCCAAGAAATGTTGTCGTTGTTGGTTTTTTTTTTTATGAGCATACCACGCAACTCCACAAACAAATTTTTTTCAAGCGTGAAAAGCTTAGTATCACAACCCAAGAGGCCGCTGAAAGAAGTGAAACAATTTTTCACGATGCACAAATAATTACAGTTATGAGTGCTGTACAACTTACTGGGTTACTCGCCACGCCAGCGGTTAATATTCGATTAATAGATTTCCACTAACTAACGTAGTTCAGTATAACCTATGAAAAGCTTCGTTTGGTCAAAAATAACTCTGAAAACAAACATTTCTGCAATCTAGACCGTGAGGAACTCAAAGAGTGCTCCTTCTTTTGAATTTAAATTCGGGAAATTTGGCAAATGAGAAGCGTACAATTACTGTATTTTTTAAAAGGTAATGTTTACAAGTTGTAAGGAGCAGTCCATTACAATGTAAAGGCATTCAGTAATCTGATCTGTATCAAGAAATAAAGCTAATCTTACCGTGTTTCTCCAAGCCTGTTAGCCTCAATTTCATGGCGTGAATCAACTTGAACAAATCTACATTCGACTTTTTCACTAACTCAGGTTCATTCCAATGCTCTCGATTGTTTTGTTCAGCGCATCAATTTTTCCGGGTATTTCGTCAGAGGGCAAGATTCTTTGGTCCAAAGCTTTCAAATTTCTCGTCAGAACATCATTTCCCTCGCTTAACAACTTTTGTTTGTTTTTAATTTCAGCCAATTCCAGTTTCGTTTCTCGGGCGGGGGACATAACAACTTCAGTATGGTCTCCAGTGATGAAAACTTTGCCATCTGAGACAGTCTTATTCACTCGAGTGGATGAGGAAATGTGAGGTGAAGCCACAAAGATCAGGAGCAGATGAAAAAAAATCGATTTAGCAGCGAACATGGCGACAGAAAGAGCTGAGGTCTGCTAATAAGAGTAAGTCATCAGAGAAACCAAAGCAATTTTTTATTAAGTACGATGTATGTTGATAAATGTAAACAAAACAAGTTTATTTTTCTGTAGGACGATAATGTTTGCTTTTTACGTTTTATATGATATTTGTGATACAGTTGATTACCGGCCCATCAGTTGATAAACTGGACTTTTAGTGAGCAAGTAGGAGTGATTTAGAGATCATTTATACAGTTGCACTTCAATTTATCGTCTTCCTTTCCCTTTTTTTCCTTCTCCTTTTTTTATTTTATTTTTGTCTTTTTCAGTGGGGTTTTCCTGTTTGAAGTTTGAAGTTTACTTTCACATGCTAATTTTTGACGAAAATTGTGTTCAATGTGTACAGAGACGGTTGTCTTCAATTACATAATTTTGTAGCACTACTTAATACACTACAAGAAGAGAAAAAAAAAGTATAAGTTGCAGGAATTTGTTAAGTGTATACTCTGTTTCTGAAATGCCTTGTTCTGTCGGTATCGGAATTAAGCATTCCTTTGAAGAAGCTGTACGACAAGACGACGCATTAGACAATACAAGACGAGCCAAGGTAGGAGCAGTATTGTTGTTATCTTTCTCTCTCACTGTTTCACCTTTGCTAACACATTGATTAAATTGCCTTACGAATTGCAAGCAAGTAGTCAAGTAAGGGATGAATAGAAGTCTAAATTTACATTGTGAGCAATTGGGAATAAAGCGAACAACAGCGTAATAGATGTAGCTGACAAATTGTGATGCCGATATTTGCAATTCAAATTTACATCTTTGCAGTCTTGGCAATTGTTTCATTGGTTTCAAGCAAATCCGTGTCAACAGACTGGGATATTGACATTGAGGTTTTCATTCTTGTTCGGATAGTTAAAGCGATTACATGAGCCCACGGCGATCATCGATCAGAAAGGAATTTTTGGAACAAGAAAGCGCCAGGTTATTTTCCAACGTTGTCATCTTTTTCTACAATTTTTCTTCTTTGATGATAAATGACTCCAATTTCAAACGTTCTTAGAAATAAAGGAGTGACATCCAGGACAATTTCCTAAAACGGAACAACATTTTTGAGCCAACAAGATATATTTTGACATTCCCACCTCAAAAAATTCCTTAGTTGTAAAAGCTCCAAATGCATTATTTGAGCTTTCAGTGTGCACTTTGCTTTTTTAAAACTAGCTTTCGCATTTCTTTCTCCGATGCTCTGCCGTTAAGCTACAGAAAATTTATAGTGAACTGGGCCATTATATAGTTCATATGCGACGCGTGTCTCGCATACTGCTAGAACCAGCAATATTGAACTGAGCCACGTGCGAGTAAATAGACTAAGAAGGGCGGCAAAGTAAAACAAAAAGCCATAGCTCTTTCTACCTTCAACGAACGATCTAAAAATCAAGCAATAGAGGAATTTTTCCGAGTTTATATTGCATTATTTAAACACGCAGGGAGTTGGGACAACTCAAGAAAGTTATGCTAGCCCAAGACGCGGTGAGAATTTTCCAAAGCCTCGAGTGTTTGAATGAGGCCATGCAACTAGGGAAGGAAATCATTGTTTACATATCCTCATCTAAACATCTCGAACGTACTCATGAGATTGAGTCCACCGACATATCCTTTACTCCAGACTTACTGCTAACTAGTAGGTTTTGATCCCAAGGCGTTTTACATGTTTCGATTAATATCAAATAAAGAGGAAAGATGGGCAGACACAATGACACTGACTAAAATGTTCAAGATGATTTCCCAATACCTTTAGCCAGCTAAGATTTTATTCAGCGTTCTACTTTAAGTTGAAGACAACGCTTAGCAGGATATAACTGTGATAATAATTATTATCGAATACACATCAAAAATCGTCATAAAATATTAAAATTTACTGTTTATACTTCATAGGGAGAAGTTAATAAAATCAGTTGATCACATCGCGTGATGAAGGCTGTGTCTTCGATTCGCATTAGAAGTGACTTCATCAGGAGGGCATAATTAGTTGCGAAAGGCTAAACGACGAGACAAATAGTGGCGGTTATAGTTTACCGGAAAGGATTAAGGGCGAGAATGTTTCCCAGGTAAATGAATATAGTGCTTTTTAGGATCGATGTAATTGTCTTCAACTTTGAAAATTATGGAGATGTCAACCGATGTAAGCTGGTACCAGCGCTTCTCGAGTAACTTGTGTACGTGATGAAAGGATGAAAAAGATGTCCTGCTCCCTTAAGGCCGTGGGCGGGCATTTATTTAGTACCACAAAAAAAGGGGACACGTACACCAAGATATATTGATGTTTACAAAAAAAAACAGGAAAATGAATAAAAACGTGATTGAAAATATTTCTTTTACAGTGGTTGTTACCGATTTTATCTTACGAGTCGCGACCCGTGACCCGCGACTAATAGCCAAACTCACGACACATCATTGGTGATAGCAAGAAACACATTGACTCTTCGAAAACAACATCTCTCTTGGTTTGGACTAAAAATGGCAAGCAACTTGGCGCAGGTCGGTTGCGGTTAACCATGGTTGTTAGGGATACGGCAATAGAAAGAGATTGCTCTTTTGCATGCCATTTTTTGCACATTCTATTTTTTTTTTCGCGGGCAAAAATTTTTCGCTCTCCTGTTCGTCTCCCCCAACTGAGTGCCTGGAACTTGAAGAAAAAAGGATAATAAAGGGCAAAAATAACAAATAAAAAAAGAAAAAAGGGGAAAAAGGAAGAAAAAAAATTTTAAAAAAATTATAAAAGAGGTACTTCCTTAGAGTTTCAACCCTTTCAATTCATTTTTTTTTTAATGAGTTAATCGGCCTAGAAATTTTGTTTTCGAAAAGCTGCCTTAAAGTTAACGGCCTGGCTGTATTTTCCATTCATATCAATTAATATTTTCATACATCCTACAGGATTTCAGGGTTACTTATTTCCCAGAGCGGAAAGATAATTCCTCACGCGGCAAATTAGCAACTCAAACTTGCAAAATAATAGGAGAAATTTTAAGAATGGAAACGACATTTCTATAACATTTAAGAAGTTTCACACTGAAAAAGAAGAGTACTTAACACTTAGCGCCATTATTTTTACGATTGTTTTGAACTTTAAAATTAAACTTAATGAAACAATCCTAAAACTAACTAAATACGATTAAAAGTTCAACTTCAGTAGAGCATTACGCATTTCAATTTAAGCAAGAAGGCTGAACTATCTGCACCGAGCCCATTCGGTGATATTTGAAGTCGCCCCACTGAAACAAATTCCCCGTCCCTGTCAGGCACGATTTGGACATGCGCCTGACTTCTTGGTCTGAAATCACGTGATTCCAGATATTGACATCTGCCATTTCACCAATGAAACTTTGATATTCTTGAAAGTCTCCTCCCAATTTGTCTTGATCCTGTCCAAGTACAAGGTGTCCACCTCCGCGGATCAATCGGCCTGTAATTAAGAGCAAGAATGTCTCCATTCCTCCGCTAGTCGTGCTTTTAAACCAATTTGTGGAAAAGTAGTGTAAGTTTTTTTAAAGGTGTTTTAGTAATACAAGAGCAAACGATTTAAATAAAGTTGTAGTAAGCAAAACCTTTAATCTGCAAATTTTCACATTTTTTTTGAAAATACTCGACTTGCCTGACGGCAATATTTTGAGAATTAGTTTGATGTTCGATATTTTCTGAGTACAAATTACCTTTTGCGAATCCTCTACCACTAGCCCCCAATGAACCATCCTTGAACAATTTCCACGATCCAGCAGTATTCTCCCATGCGAAGCAGATGTGATGCCACTTTCCATCGTTGACAGATACATTGGTGGAACTACTATAATGAACATTGAAAGGATTCAAAGTTTTTCCTTAATAATCCATTTTGAAAAGGTTAAACGATTGATAAAGTAGTTGAAGATTATTGGTGTGATAGATTTTGAATCTGGTGCGATAATTATTGAACCTGCATCCCTCTTCTATCTCTTTCTGCACGTAGAGAGGTGGAATGCTAAAATATCATCAAGCTCTGTCTGCAAGGCATTTGATACCATTTTCATGAGATGGTTTATTGTTAACCTCTCATAATTCTAAACCTCTCATGATTCTAAAACTCTCAAATTTCACTCGAAAGTCTATTCAGCCCATCAATTTGAGAAAATTTGATTGAAAAAAAGGCAACTGATGATCGTACGTTCACACCTCTCCCTTTATTCACTCATTACCACAAATGTTCAGACGTGATATAATTTGAGAAAGAAAAACGCACAACGCCGAGAGTTTTTAAGTCAACCATCGGCTTTGTCCAATAGTGCTTTATTTTATGGATGATAAGTGTAAGGAAATAGCATTCAGGGCTCCGCCATTAGGATAGCCAAATATGGTTCATTAAATAGCTCTGACAACATTTACTATTGCTGATTCACGATTCAAATAGTACAGGACGGGTTCTGCACATCATGTGCAGTGTATCGTTCCTATTCCCCAATGAAACCGTATTCTCGTACCTCCAAACTGATTGCACACCGAACCCAAAATCTATGGGCCTGAATAACAACAGTTCGTTATCCATTCCACTCACAGCATAGCTGAGAAGTGCTTCATTACTTCCTGTAGCATTAGTCTTTATCCACATACAAACTGTCACAGCTGTAAGGCTTGGCATTCCATGCGTGATGATTACGTAATCATTTTTACTCTTATATGGAAATAACAAAGAGTAGTTCGGGCTGACTGAAATCAATTGAAAGGAAATTTAGTGAGGAAATCGAGTTTCTATAACCATCTTAACGGAATGTTCTACCCACTAGAAAAGTCTGAAGCTCTTCCCTTTAAGAATGAATAGTAACATATCACAGAATCAAGAATATTCCTTGTTACATCTAACATTCCAAGTGATTTCAAGACAAATTCTACTAAAACTTGACACCCCATAAAGCTATGACAATTATAACTCTAACAAGACGAGCCCAACTAATTTTTAAAACACTAGACAATTTATCCGGTGAATATTACATGCACTTTGCAATTATTTCCAGGGCAACTTCAACGACGCTTCATTAAAGGAACGAAACACCCACAAACGTAATAACATTGCACATTCGATCAACAACGGGACTCGTAGTTTTTCAGTGATCCTGCAATACAAAACAGATATGTCCGGAAGCATCTTGCGAATCACAACCCCACAACGTCCGAAAAACCACAAATTGATGATTGCGTTTTGACATTCACTGACTAAAGGTAGATACACACAAACGAGATTAGGGATTCCAGTTCCCGGGCTTCCTGTAACATCAGAGAGGTTTGCAGGTACTTCAACGGAAAACTGACTAAACATAAACGAGCGATGATGTCAAAAAATCAAATAGCTGAACGTCATCAACCAACAAACAACGCTATTGACTGGGACTTTGCCCAGTGCTTCATCTACATCTACATCTACACCTACATTCATCTACATCTGCATCTTCATCATTAGATGATCTAACTACTTTTAATGACATACTTCGTCTCCGGTTTTCATTAAGGCTAATAAAAATTTTTCAGAACTAGCCTTACCCGAAAGACACTCTAAATAATTATCGAGTGAAACTCATACCAAATTTACAAGTTGGCTGCACTCCCGTCCATGAACCGTTGTTCAAGCAGAGACGCTCTGAGGGTCCATTTAACCAGTAACCACGATTACAACTGAATGAAATAAACTCCCCCGTGCAGTTTTTTTGACTGTGTGAAAAACCATTCTTCGGGTTTTTCAACAAAGGACAAGTTTTCCTGACTAATAGACAGATACATGTAAATACATAGACGCATGAATATAAATATGTCAATATAGATTAATAAAGAAAGTAATAAATCTCTTGAGAAATGTTGTTAAGTTTCTCATCTCTGATTGTACCATGCTTATTTTTACATCATAATAGTTGACAGGTTAGCTAGGGTGATGCAAGTTTGCATAGGACGGTAAAGCAAAATCAAGCAATGCTACATTGCTTACAACACGCAAGTGAAAATTATTTAAAAGATGCATTCCTTCCATCACCGATGCCTTTATCGTTTCAGATGGGTTCTTAAATTGCAAAGAGAGCTCTTCGATTGACTTAATCACGACATCCAGTTTCCTTACGACACTTTTGTTAAACGAGTGAGGAGAGTGTACCACGCATCGACTGTCTTGTTAATTAGAGCCAGTCTTCCTGAAGAAATTGAAAGACATAAATAAAGATCTTAAAATCTTTCAATAATAAATGCATGGATAAAAAAAATTGGTTCACGGTGTAATTTCGAAATGTCAAAAAAGAAACTTTTTCAAACAAATTTCGATTCTTACGGAATCAAAATGAATTTCATAAAGAAATTACCGCTGTTTTAAGTATCATTTCCAAGTTACACTGCCCTGCGTGATTGTAATTTTCACATAATTTAAAAAAAGGGGTATTAAGGTTATCTGTGTAAAGAAAAGATATCTGAGATTTTCCAAGAACTGAGATTTTGACACGCGAGTATATTTAAATGAAATTAAATCGAACCGTCAAATAAATCTTTTACACTTTTGAAAGTCTACTTTCAGGAAATAATATTGAATTTCTCGGGAGGTTCCCCACGTGTGTTGATAGAAGGTTTGTGTGGAATACATTCGAAGAAATGAAGCCAAAGATCACCAAGTCATTCGCAAGCAAAGGTTAGATGCGATCGGATTGCGTTACATCACATCCTTGAACATACGTTAGAAGCGTACTTTCCACTTGCCTATTGGCAAAAATTTTTGGGCTTCAAATTGGCGTTTTACATCGTTTTTATATGACCTCTTTTCTGTGGAACCTGTCTTACGCGGCCTCCCCCCCCCCCTCCCCCCAGCCATTATCCGTAGGTAACCACCTTATACAGGTTTAACTGTGTAGGAAAATGATATCACAAGGGAGGATTGGTGACTCAACGTGAACGGCCACAAGTAGGAGAAATGTTCATCATTGAGTCAGACTTGTTTTTCGTTTTGCATCTTCTTGTTTGAGAGAGAGGCCCAAGTTTCCTTCATAGACCAATCACAAACCGCATTAAAGCAAAAGCAATACAACCCAAGTCGAAAATCAATGTAAATATGCATACCTTTCATTTCCAAAGCAGTCATCCTTTCAGACATGTTCATAACATTCACGTTTACTAAATTCAGGTTCCTTTCCATATTTGTGCCCAGGGAGTCGAGGCGTTTGGACAAAGCTTCAATGGCTTTGAACATTGAGTCCTGGTTATCTATAGACAGCCATGATAAAGAAAGGTGTTAAAAGAACTGACTGTTTACGTATGAGGGACAAGGTGCTGGGTAATGATTTGAGCCCTTAAGCAAACCAGACGTTTTACTGACTGAAATATGAGCTAAGCCTCACTGAAAAAGTTCGACATTCTCCGCATTTGAATACCGGCTCTTTTCTTTACTGAGGCCGCTTTTTCTCGGCAAAGGAGGAGGGGGGGGGTTGGTAGCGGATGTGTTGCATTGACTGATGCGTGATAGTTGAGCAAGAACTGCATTAATTGGCGCAGGAATGCTCAAGTGAGTCAAAGAAGAGAAAGTGTAAGTCATCGGCAAGACGTTTGAAACACAAGAAGCTTAAAAATTCCTTTCCACAAGAAGCTGCAAGAGGGTAATTAATGTAACTGTGAACTGCCAACAGCGATGAGAAGTTGTTTTGCAACATTTTGGTAACTTCCCAACTAATGCGTCACCAACGATTGATTGATCGGCGTAACAGATGTATCATTTAAAGCTGCTTTGTGAAAATAAAATCGTTCACAGAAGAGGTGTAACCATTTTATCCGCTCTTGGTAAGACACACTGAGGAGATAAGGCAAAAATATCTTACAAACTCGTTCTTTGGATCCGTGCATTATGTTTCTGTTCCTCGTTTTCGCCTTTGTGACTGATGGCTCACGTGCTTTGAGCTCGGCCCATGAGTCAAGAAGAGAAAATAACATATTTATTTCTGTTTCAGAGGGCGTGGTAAAGAATCCTGCAATCTAATTGGTTCTTTACCCGGTCAGTATTTTCCTATCTCTGCCCACGGGCCACGGTAACGCTTTCGTGAGTCGTAGAGTACATCCCTACTTTCATTTTTCATAAATATATCTCGTTTTTCTGGCTGGGCAATATTTTTAAGCAAAGACGTTGGTCACAACCTCAAGCCGATAAATAACTTATTAATCCTCTCTTTTCGCTCTCTGAAATCACTTTGGTTGACAGAAAAATATTAGTTTCAGGATGAATTTGTATAAGCAATAGTGTCATTACGTTGGTTGACAAGCGGCCTAAAAACCGTCTGCAATTAATTTTAATCGTTCACAAAAAGAACCTAGAAAGTTAAAACGTGAGGTATTTGGTTAAAGTTAACCTGATCGATGGAACTTTCATTAATTTAATATCTGAATTTTCTTAAACAATTTGTTCGTAGTGAAAGAGCGAGCGAATTTTTAAATTCAGTTCTGCAACAATTATACGCTCTCGGTGAGTCTTCCCGAGTCCGTCCAATTTGGACATTTGTACCGTAAATTGCACGACAGAAACTGAAGGAATTTACTGACAAATGGCTGCATTAAATCCCCTTGTGTCTCGTTGGAGTGCGTTATTCGAATTTAGTTTTTGCGGAGGAAAGACCAGATTTACACACGTCATTGCAGCAAACAAACGAGCAAACTCTCACAACTTCAAAATAAAAAATTTAAATTTACTTCCAATTACTTTCCTCGCTGTTTACTTAATGAACAGATGTAAATCTTCGTACATGAATTCATCGTCGATGAGAGTGAATAATACTTTCCGTTAGATCATAGACTGTTTTTGAAAAAAACATTGCCGCGACAGTCCTTGCTAAACTAGTTTCGTTGTTTTTCAAAAGTGTACGTGCGCTTTTTTTCTTCCTTACGCGCTCTCTAATTGACAGGTGTCAGTTTGTGACAGATACTTGTAAAAATAATGTTTCAAAGTTTGTTTGGAAGCCTTTTAAATCACCTTTATCAATACGCAAATGAAAATATTTCGGTGAAGTATCTCTTTTTAAATTGCATCACCTCTATTATAACTACCATTTACTCGCTCAAAAACTGTTCTGTTTATGGAAGATCTTGCCGTATTTTCAGCCCTAAATCATTCGGGTTCTTTCGGAAAGAATTTCGCTAAGTTAAAAAAATAAATAAATATATTATTTACCGGCTAAGGGTCGGTCCGTATACGGTTAGTAATAAGAGGTGTATTTTCTGCGACTTCATTGGGGTGATTTCACATCGCCGTGTAAATCTTTCACTCGCTTGCTCGAAACGATTTCCTCTACGAACGTTCTGATACCAAAAACTCTAATAAAGGAACCTTTCTGAGGAAACAATGGTAAGTGATCTCTCTCTTTGTGCTTTTATATGGCATATCATGCACCTCATGCGATATCCACGTCTTTGAGCATAGGTGATTTGCAGATTTGTATGTAAACATAACTACGACTATGATTGCGCCGTGGCGTAGGTAAGTTAACCTTCTTGGCAAGAACCATTTTGCTTGATTTTCATTGGATATTGAAAGATCAGATTTGACACATCTAGTGCACATCGCGGAGCCAAATTGAACAATATATGAGAAGGCCGATTACCAGTCAAACTCTAGAAATTTGTTTTTCATACATCTAGAAATACCTCTTACTAACCGAGTTCAGTTGCGGACCGAGTTTTTCTGCTTGGAGTTACAGCCCCTTCGAAGCAGGCTGCACA